AATCATCAATTAATTGGCAGAAATGCCGATAGCAATTTCTATGTGTAGTTTGTCTGACAATGACCACCAAATTAATAATTCTGTGATGTTAGCAGAATCTAGCAGCTAATACTTGAGAGAGACTGATAGCAATTTTAAATTATTATTACAAGTTGTAAAGGAAGAACATAAGAATTTCTTGCTTTTTTTAACAACAAGCTGACTTTTTCATGTCGGCGACTCTGCCGGCAAAATTAATTGTCGATTGGCTTGATCAGAATTCGGGATAAGCTACGCTCAGACCAGTGTTAAAGATTGAGAGTGGCGGATTATAAATTATAAATAATTTATGGAGCAATTACTTATTAACTATGATCTTTGCTTGCTTTGAATTTTCTTTTAGGTATAGAACAAGTTAAAAAAAAGTAGACATTTCTAAACTTGCTCTATCAAAAATGATTATTCTACTTCGAGACGAATCGTAGACCACGAGTATATATTCGCGAAGAAGATAAAATCGAATAAAAGGAACAAAGTGGCTGTGCGATGAACGATGATGGGTGAGCGGACGAGTACTCGAACAGCGAAAAAGGAAGTTGGAAGTTCGTCGACGAGGCGGGCGGTGGTGGCGGCGAGGTATCGCACGAATCGAAAAGGGTTTGGCGGTAACTCTACTAATATTGAATATCTCGGAACTTCCGTTCTTCTCTCTCTCTTCCCCCTTCGTCCTCCCTCCGCGGTGAACGAGGGTAACCGAGGATGAGCGAAAGCGAGGACGCGTGGGGTGGTGTTTCACGTGCCTGTTGCGTTGCAGAAGCTCGCGCGGCGAGGCGTCTCGCCGTGCGCGCCTGTATATTAAATGGCGTTCACGGTTCACCAGTCAAATTGAATCCCGGGCTATTGGCAGATTCTCAATAAGCTTCAACAATGGACTCTGTTACACGAGCCCGTTCCTCGCTCTTTCTGCTTCCTCTTCCTCCTCAGCCTCCACCACCTTCTCCCCATCTCGTCAACTGTCGTACTTTCGTTCGGCATGTTCTCGCTTTTCCTTCCAGGAGCGTATCTATCGCGCTTCGATATAGCTCACGCTGCTGAGGTTTCGTTTCTGCACTTTGAAATCCTTAAAAGTGATCATCGACGAGACGCTCTCCCTCTCTTTCTCGGCTGAGAGCTGGAAATTCACGATTCCCGTTACATCTATGCAACTCTCGCTGCAGAGGCGACCGCGAAATCGCCGCATTATCGATTAAAATTAAATCGTAATTGCAATTGGCATATACGTGTAAAATATTCAGTTGCATTGCGACATCTAACGAACGCTGGCATACCTAAAGCGTTTTGTAAAGCAAAGTGACAAACAAAAGGACGATTTCGCAGTTAAACTGCGCAATTATTAGCATTTCCCTTAGCCATTAGCACTTGAGGAAAACTTAGTTCTTCTCTATCTGTTCACTATTTCAGTTCTGAAAATTTCTCTTCAGAAAAGACTAACAATTGTGTGGTTTACCCACACGCGGCTGAAGCGAGCTTCTGGATACGTTACTGTTTCTTCCTACCGGCTTTCTTTCCTCAATTTACCTATCGTACCGGCTGCATGCACGCGAACTGTCTGAAACTTTTGAATCAGGAAATAAATCGTGAATATGACGATGTAAGGTACAATGACGATTCGTCGGAGTTACCTGCCGTCCGGAGGTACACACGTAGACGCAGGAAACGAAAAATCTACTTTAAATATCCGCGGTCAGTCACGGTAATGAGCGTTGGCTTTATTTTCCTCAATGACTCGAGTCTTCGTAAATAACGCCATAACGTATGCAAGCGACTACAAAGAGGCAAAACAATTACATTAATATACAATGCTTGATATTGAAGTGAGGATAACGCGTTATAAAAACCTATTTCTTTCAACTGAATTAATATTACACTAAAGAGGCACATCATTCCTTTTCCCTCTTTAACAATAAATTACCTGTGTAGAAGATCCAAAGATTTTCCAGGATGCACAGCATAGCTTCGAATTAAAATATCTAAATTTGTCTCAGAATCTTCACCACTTGGGAATCCTATTCTTATTCCAAACATGAGTTTTACGTCCTTAATTGAAATAGAAATACTATGGAAAAGAAGCTTTTTTTCAGTTGGTAACATTGATATACTATTATGGAATCAAACAGGAAATCATATTTTGTTTCAATTATTGTATTCAATCGAATAAAAAATAATTAAAAAATGAAATATTTTTAAAATATTTTTATTAATGATGAATAATGAAATTATTTAGGAAATCGATTTAATTCAAATAAATTCAATAAAGAAACAAATCAATTTTCCATGTAAAATGAAGACTAAAAAAAATATTGGCGAAACTTTGAATTTTTCACTTAGAATCATTTGTCTGGACAAGCATATGAACATTACAATAATAATATTACATATAACTAAATAATTATTCTCAACAACAATTAACAATTAACTTGACAATTATTTTGACGAAGCTAACTCGGACCCAATTAGATTCCAAAATATTTTCTATGCGAGCGTATATTCGGTAGACTCTAAAGACAAAGTGCAATCTGATTCAACTAAAAAGAGTAGACTTTAAATTGCAGGATCATATAGTCGAGGCGGGGTTCATCCCAGGCGAAATTATGCCGTTAGATTTCAGTGATTTTTCGTGCAGTCGACGTTTCGTTCGCCGTCATGTATGCGAGAAGGGAACGGCGCGTGCATTGTCTGGACGAGGTTAAGAGGGTTAGACGGAGTTAGGGGATGTCCTGAGAGAGGTTGAGGAGGCAGAGGAGAGAAGGGTATCGGTGTAATGAAGAGCGACAGTGGCCCCCTTCCTCCTTCCATGGTCATCGCTAATTTGCCGCTAAGTGCCCGGCTTTGTTTCCGTACGCTGATCCCATCGTTCGCAATATCCTGGATCCAAGGCGACGTTCCACGGTGTTTAAGAGAGAAAGCCAAATAACCTGCGGTATTACCCGGCAATCCAGTATAGATCGGACTCGAATGGAAAAGGGACGCCACCGACCGAGCAAATATCAGAGAGGAATAGAGAGAAAGACGGACCGAAACAGAGAGAGAGAGAGAGAGAGAGAGAGAGAGAGAGAGAGAGAGAGAGAGGAGGAGGAGGAGGAAAAGGAAAAATAAAAATGACGCGATATTCGTTGAATATTATTGCTTTACCAAGTCTGTAATAAAGATTATCACGGACATTTTCGCTCAACGTTTTAATCTAAAGATTAATAAATACTGAATACTTAATCAAAAGAAATGATAGAACACGTAAAACTTCGATATTTCTGCATAGAAAGAGGTAATACGTATGTATGCTACGTAAAAGACCACATACATTAAAAATATATGACTACATATATATATATATATACATTAAAACATTTTTAATAAATTTTTATTACATTTTATTACATTTTAGATGGTATATATATATTTTTTAATTCTACTTCTCGGAAATTCTTTAATTCTCTCTCTCTCTCTCTCTTTTTTCCTCTCTGATATTTGCTCAGTTGATAGCGTTCTTTTCCATCCAAGTCTGATCTTTGTTAGATTTTGCTAGGTAATATATATATATATATATATATATATATATATATATATATATATATATATATATTATGTATGTGGACCTTTGCGCACGTATGTGTGATATATAAAAAAATAGTATAGCAAAGCTATAAGTTTTTAAAAATTATGATATGATATGAACCAGAATAATGAACAAACAAAAACAAATTTTAATATGATTTCTTAAAAATAAAGAAAGATACATGGACTCAAAGGAATTATTAAAATCAGATATCGTTGATCGAAGATTGCAGTACATTCAACTTAATAAACACGATTATTCATACGCTTATCAAGAGTAATGATATCCTACAGTATATGGATGTTGTACACTATGAAGTTGTAAATCGTATAGATAATTTACGTATCGTATAGATAATTTCGTATAGAAAAGAGTATGTACGGAGAAAAAAGTTTGCATAAATTCATGTGATGACATAAAAAGAGACGCGTTTTAGTTAGAAAAACAGAATTTCTGGTCTTTATGAACCAAATTCGCTTTTTAAAAGACCAAAATTTTGTTCAAACAAATCTTTAATTATGCCACATTAATATAAACAATCTTTTTCCCCGTGCGCAAACAGAAGATAATTTTATAACAAAAATTATTGTAATTTCTATCCAAGATTACAAAAATTTTGTTGTAATTTTTACCATAATATTCTTTCCGTGTACACGGAAAAAATATTGTAGTAAGAATTACAACAAAACTTTTTTAATTTTGGACAGAAATTATGACTAAGATTATTATTTTATCTCAAAATTATTATGATTGAGTAATCTTTTATATCGTATATTATGTATATCGTTAAATTTACTACTTCTATAATAATTTATGTTACAATAGTAGTATTTAGCTTTACAAAAAAAAGCTGTGTCATACACACACACACACACACACACAGAGAAAGAGAGAGAGAAAAAGTGTGTGTGTGTAAAAATAAATATAATCTTAACCTTATTTTTACTGCAATTTTTCTCTGTATAGAATGAAGGGATACTCCAACGAGAAGTATATTCTAATATAAGAGAAAAAGATATGAACATAAACAACGTGATAAAATTGTATTAAATTCGCAATTGTAGGCGAATTAGATTACTATCTTGACTGGCATATTCCATGATTTGCTTGGTCATTCTCTGATTGGTAACATCACTCTAAAATTCGTATTCTTCACACGCACATTTACATATTTACATATTTACATATTTACATTTACGTATTTTTACAATTCTATTTGCTTATTTTTCGTGAAATCATTGTGTCGTAGGTTAAGCAAGTCAGTTGGGAGACAAACATCATTACTCGTAAAGCAATGGTGACTAGTAATAAAATTAGTCGATGTTTTGAATTTTTTTCGATGACGTCGAAGACATAATCATCCATCGTCTTACGTAAGGTTAACGAGAGATATATAAACGGGAGAATCGCCTGCAATTCCTGCAGTCTTCGCGCGGACGTTATCTCGCGATACTGCGAGTTGAGATAATTATTCGTGTTCCGCCGACCGTGTCTCCAATCGTCGTCGTCGTCGTCCTCGTCATGGAATCTTGGGTACTGCTTTCCCTCTTAGCCATTGGCTACGTTATTTATCGCTATTGCTTCAAAGGCCTGAACCACTTTAAGAAGTATGGGATTCAGCATATCCCACCATGGCCCATGTTTGGCAACATGTGGCCATTGTTCCTGCGTCAAACCTCGTTGCCCGAGCTCATAAAAAAGGCGTACAATATCAGTCCAAACGCAAAGTACGTCGGCTTCTTCGACGCCTTGAATCCTGTGGTGATGATTCGCGACCCGGAGCTCATTAAGTCCATCGGTGTGAAAAACTTTGAGACGTTCCCTAACCATCGTGCCTTCATCGACGAGGTTAACGATCCGTTGTTCGGCAAGAATCTGTTCTCACTGCGCGACGATAAATGGCGGGATGTGAGAAACTTGCTGAGTCCCGCGTTCACGTCTAGTAAGATGCGAACCATGTTCAAACTGATGTCCGACTGCGCGGCCAACTTCGCCGACTCCTTGATCAAAACGTCAGTGAACAAGAACATCATGGAGATGAAGGATTGCTTCACAAGGTACACAAACGACGTGATCGCTACTTGCGCCTTCGGCATCAGTGTGGACTCCATGAAGAACCCCGATAATGATTTCTACGTTTACGGCAAGGAGGCCACGTTCTTCGGTCCCTTGCGTACTGTAAAGTTCTATATCGCCAGGAGTATACCGTACATATCGAGGATCTTAGGCATAAAGATCGTCAGCGAGCGTGTGGCCAAATTCTTCATGGATATCATAAGGAACACGATCTACGCCAGAGACATGCAAAACATCACGCGGCCGGACATGCTGCAGCTGATGATGGAGAGCAGAGGCAAGAGAGGCCCCGGCAAGGAACTGACCATCGAAGACATGACGAGCCAAGCTTTTATCTTCTTTTTCGGCGGCTTCGATACTACCTCTACCTTGATGTGCTTTGCTGCTCATGAAATCACCGTAAATCCGGACATTCAGGCGAAACTGCGCAATGAGATTGATGCGGTTATGAAAGCTACGAATGGGGCGTTAACCTATGAGGCGGTGAATGGAATGCAATATTTGGACGCTGTTATCAACGAGTCCCTCAGGATGTACCCGGTAGCGGTGTTCCTCGACAGAGTATGCATGAAAGATTTCGAGCTTCCTCCGGCATTACCCGGTGACAAGCCTTACACACTGAAGAAAGGATCGACCGTCTGGTTCCCCGCTTACGGACTTCATCACGACCCGAATTACTTCGAAAATCCCGAGAAATTTAATCCCGAGCGCTTTCTAAATGAGGACAAGAAAGGTATCAATCCAAACGCGTATTTACCGTTTGGAATGGGTCCGAGGATGTGCATAGGTAACAGGTTCGCGTTACTTGAGACCAAGGTAATGCTGATACACTTGTTGGCTCGCTGCGAGTTAAAGCGCTGTGCGAAAACCATGTATCCGATGCGATTCAGCAAAAGTAGCTTCAACATCTTGGCAGAGGGTGGTTTCTGGGTTAATATTCAACCGAGAAGCGACGCTCCCAATTTATCGATCAACGCCAATGGTCAATTATGAAGCCACAAAAGCGCCGATGAAATCCAATGCGATATTTAGATATCAGTTTTTAAAGACCGTACGACTTTCGTAATGATTTCAACAGTTTTCAATACGAACGTCGCAAATGTATGTCTAGGTAATATTTCAAGAGGAGGTGGAAATAGAAGACAATTTAAAACAAATAATATAACAATAAAGAGCCTATAAATAGCAGTTCTACTTAGTCCGGCAGGCTTCTTTGTATGTGGAGAAAAGATTACTGCAAAAATATTATTTATAGAAAATATTATAGAAAATATTATAGCAATAACAATATAGTTAAAATTACATTCTTTTTTACAATATTTTTCGCAAAGCTGGTTTATACTTATATTGCACTAAATTACTAAATTGATAAATTTAAAACGATCTATCGAATGTAGAATATAGAAAACATTCAAGTTATTGCTGTAGCAAATGTAGTAAAAAGTCAAACGTGCATAACATTTTAAAATAAATATATAATAATTTTAGACATAAGTTTTTTTGTAAAATCCAAGATTAAAGACTTTTGTTGTAATTTTTACTGCAATATTTTCTCTGATAAAATAGTAAGAAATAGATTTAAAACAATCTTGTTTTAGGGAAATATTTTACTGTTACATTGCTTTCGCTTAAGCTTCCGCGCGTATTATCTAGTGAACATTTCTTAAATTTATAAAAATATTAAGGTGAGTTAACTGTGTAAGCACAATGTCGATTTACTATAAGTATATGCAAAATTCTTGTAAAATTACTAGATAACTTTTATTTTACCTAAAAATGAACTCTCTAATAATTTTTTATCGTATGGTATCTTTCAAGATACGGTACTACTCGCAGAAGTTTATCACACTCTCAACAAATAAGTAATATTCCACGACGGACGGAATCCTTTGCATATATTATTACGCAGTGCCATTACTCGGATATTTCCGATAGAAAGTTGGGAATCGTGAGACTTTGTGAAGGTTTTAATAATTTCCAGAACTGACATGTACTTCGTAGTTATGTATGGAAAATGTCTCTTGGTAATTATGCATGGAAAATACCGCTATTATTTATCCTCTAAATGGAAAAACGGTTACTTTCTCGTTCACTTGCACTTTATAAAAAAAAACATGGCACTTAATATAGATCAACGCAGAGAGACCACACGTGAGAACATTGAAAAACCGAATACACTTTAAGCTGAAAATAGACTTTCCGACCTTTAAAGATAAACGATAGAATAAAATCTGCGGGAGTGAAATCGGCACATTTTCAGATGTGTCTGACAATATTTATAAGTGAGGAGAGCCACACAGAAAATTCACAGATGTGATAGCAATGTGATCGACGCCTAGACCTCTACAATGCAATATTTTTAATAGAAAAATAATGTTACAAAGACTGACGTACATACGTACATTTACAATGTATACTCGCGCGCGTTCGCTCGTTCGATAATTTTACTTCAAATATTTTTCCTAACTTGTGTGACACAAGAGAGATAATCATATCAATTGTAAAACAATGATATCACTTGTGATTGCAAGTCATCCAAATATGTGCAATTCATTCCCTACTTGCTTTTTGTGTTTCCATCATGTAATGATAGAATTTATTGTAGGATAATAAGCTCATTAAATATAGTTTTACGTCGTTTTCATTATATATAGTTTTCTGCGTTTAAATAAAATAATTATTTGCTGAAATGGTGAAAATAAAACTCTAATTTGATCTCAAGAAACATCTTTATTGAAGATCCAAACGGTTTTCTCGTGGAAAACGTAATATAGAAATACAGAAAATAGGCTTTTTTAATCCTTTCTCTCGCCTATCATGTCATAAATTCACGATGATTAATTGAGATTCCGTTAAAGATATCATTAATATTTTTACTCACGGTCTGACGTATGCGCTTAGAGACGCGTCAGTAAATCTTAAATCCACACTTGATCCTGATGGACTTACATAATATGTAGATGTATACAGAGAAATCGCAATCAATTATGTCTCAGAGGCATGAAGAACGTAATAAATATTCTTTATTCAAGGCGTACAATTATCGGTTAAATTGTGTTAAATTGTTTTGCGCATACACATTCCGCAGTTTTGTAAATCAGCCTGGTATGGCTGATTGCACTAGCTGATTAGATGACATATTTGCCTTTGACATTGATTTTTATAACTTTGACATATCTAATATATCAATCTATCATTTTAGAGCCATAATACGTTCTAAATTATGTTTTGATATACGCGATTGCGCAATTGCCGGCAAGAAAATTCGCTGCTTTAAAAGGTAAATGATATCAACGAACAAGTGTCGATACGGTAGTAAACTATAACAGAATTCGATATGCATTATACATTTCGATACCTATTTTCTGTTTGTTCCCCCTAGTGCTATTTCCCTTACTTTATCGTCTTGCGCAATCTCGAGCCGTTCGAGACTCAAGAGTAGAAACATATATGTAAATATATGTTTCTAATAGTGGAAAGCTATTAGAAATATATACGAGTGTCCCAGACTCTCTTCCGCAATTTTTGCGGGAACGTAGAATGATAGATGAGCTGTAGTAGCGATGTTCACTATTATTTATTTGTACATTAAATTAAATTAAACAAAAAGTCCTTTATCATTTTGTAAATAACCACGTAGACTTTTAGATATTAATTAAAGAAGATTTGTGCATTATCGCGCACAATTATGTAACAATTTTCTTTTATTAAAAATACATTAAACAAAATATTTGACAATTTATTTTTCGCAAAAAAATGTGGTCTTATGTGGTCTTCAACTAAAAAAGTAATGGAAGTTTCAATAATTTTTGAAAACTTTTTCGGACACTTCAAAGAGAGAAAAATTAAGGAAGACACTAATGACTCCGAAAGTAACGAAAATATGTTGTCATTTCTGGAGAGTTAATAAATTGGTTTCAATAGTATTGCTATATTAAGTCAAAAAATTTATTTTAATCACGGTGCTGTTGACCAATTCTGTTAATTCGACAGCATTCTTTTTTCGATGATTTTTTGCTCGCTTTCTTTTTGCCCCCCATCAACGCGCATACTGTGATCAAAAAGTATCGGGAATGTTTCAATAAAACGCAAGATTTGAATTTATTCATCAAAATTTATTTCGTCCCCTTCAAAGTAATTTCCTCTTACTATAATATATTTATACCAATATTTTTTCCAATCTTCAAAACATGCTTAAAAGTCGTTTTCGTAAAACCTCTTTAGGACTCGCAGCAAATTTTCTTTTGTGCCATTAATCGACTCAAAACGGTGACAACAAAGCGGAAATTTTAGTCGAGGAAACAGGAAAAAGTTACACGGTGCCATATTAGGTATTTGTTGAATTTTTTGCCAAAAATTCACGAACAACAAGAGCATTGTAAGCAGGTGTATTATCGTGGTGCAAAAGCGACGCGCTGCAAGCCCAAATAATCTTTTAAAATTGCTTGACAAAATCCAAGTGATACTGGAACATGTTCAATAATGTCTCTAATTGTTAAGTGACATTCATTGAGCACCAAATCTCTGATTTGAGCAACGTGTTGCTCATCAGTTGAAGTAGATGGTCTAGAGCGTGGTTCATCTTCGACGCGTTCTCTACCATCCTTGAACATCTTGTACCACTGGAAAACTTTTGGTTTTGGTAGAGTACCGTCACCAAAGTCTTTTTACAACATTTCCAACGTTTTTTTAGCAGTAATTCCTTTGCGAAAACAAAATTTAATGCACGTTCTTTGCTCAATTACACTCGATATTTTAGAAAATCGCCGGAGCAAAAATTCTTTACACACAAAACAAGCGTTTATTTACAAATAAAAACAGACAATAACATATGGATTGCAGCTAGATGTCGATGAAAGTCGTACCAATCTAGGAAAAAAACGACAATAGCACCAATTTGCACGCGTGCAGTTTAAATGAATAATTCCCAATACTTCTTGAGTCAATCATAATAATATTTCTTTTATAAGTCAATCAGTTAAATGCAAATGTCTTTTAAAATGAACTGTCTTGCATAAATTGCATAATAATCTGCGATATCGAATAATCACTATAATAAAATTAGCAAGTCTTCTGTCCCCTGTCAATCATTTATGGACAGAGAAACGTACAAAATGATATTATACAATCGATATTGTGCATATAATAGGAAGGTTTATTATTGCTATTATTTCATTATTTATTATTGCTATTATTTCATTATTTATTATTGCTATTATTTCATTATTTATTATTGCTATTATTTCATTATTTATTATTGCTTATTTTTGAGCGATTGGCTTCATAATATTCAATATTATTATTCTGTTTATGCTCTCTCACTGTTCTCTTGTACGTAGCTATCAATGGATAAGAAAGATATGAAAATACAGGCATAATAGATATAAAATGTAAATTTTAGAAGATGAGGATAAATATTCGAGTCATAGATAAGAGTCCGACATAGATAAAATATTGAATACCAGCAAGATATCGGCAGTCTTTTATAGCAGCTTGTCTTAACAATACTGTTTTTGATTAGCTCTCTAAAACGTATACGAAAAATCTTCGAAGAACGCAGAACTTCACAATGGGATACTGGTCGATACTGTTGTCAATTGTGATAGGTGCTCTCATCATCTATTATTACTTCTTCAAAAAGTTCAACTTCTTCAAGAGACACAACGTCCTTCACTTACCATCCTTGCCCGTGTTGGGAGTCATGGCGCCGGTGCTATTTCGTCAGATGTCGTTTGGCGGGTTCCTGAATTTTCTGTACAACTACCGTCCGGATGCGAAGTACTACGGATTCTATGCCATGACGCTGCCAGTCTTCCTGTTTCGCGACCCAGAACTCATCAAGGCCATTTTCATCAAGGACTTCAAGTCATTCCACGACCGTCGGACTTTTGCCGACGTGAACGACCCGCTGATCAACAAGAACATGTTCTCCCTGCAGGGGAAGAAATGGCGCGAAGTTAGGACCCTGCTATCGCCCGCCTTTACGGCCGGTAAGATGAAGTTCATGTTCTCGTTGATGTCGGAATGCGCGGTAAACTTTGCCACGTTTATGTCGTCGTTGTCGAAGGACCAGAATGAGCTGGAGCTGAAGGAAGCGTTCACGAAGTATACGAACGACGTGATCGCCACATGCGCTTTCGGTATCAAGATGGACACTATGAGGGACCCGACCAACAAGTTCTACATGCATGGCCGTAACAGTACCAGGTTTCTGGAGTTCCGCACCATCATGCTGATCTTTCTCAAGACCTTCTCGATCGGGCGAATCTTGAACCTACGGTTGGTGGACGAAGAGGTGACGAACTACTTCACCAACATCATCAAGACCATCATCAAAAAACGCGACACCGAGAACATCACGCGCCCAGACATGCTGCAGCTCATGATGGACGTGCGGGGTAAAGCCGGCAAAGAGCTGGACATTGAAGAAATGGTCGCGCAGGCGTTCGTGTTCTTCTTCGCCGGCTTCGAGACCACCTCGACCGCTATCACCTTCTTGACTTATGAGATCGCGATGAACCCAGACGTACAGGCGAGGTTGCAACAGGACATCGACAAGGTTCTAGAGGAGACGAATGGCCAAGTAACTTACGAGGCGATCAACCAGTTACAGTACTTGGATGCGGTGATCTTGGAGGCGACGCGGATGTATCCGTCCAACTCGTTCATAGAGCGTGTATGCGTGAAGGATTATGAATTGCCGCCCACGTTGCCGGGTGAGAAGCCCTTCACCATGAAGAAGGGCATGGTGGTCTGGGTACCGGTCTACTCACTCCAGCACGACGAAAAGTACTATGATGAGCCGGATAAATTCCGTCCGGAGCGCTTCATGAACAACACCAACTACGAGAACTCACCGTATTACACGACGTTCGGCATAGGCCCGAGGATGTGTATCGGCAAGCGTTTCGCCATGCTGGAGATAAAACTACTGTTGTTCCATCTGTTAGCTCGATGCGAGTTGAAACCCTGTTCAAGGACCACGATACCGATGCGACTCGACAATAAAGGTCTGCAAATGGGAGTTGAAGGTGGACTCTGGTTGAGCATTTGGCCCAGAAGCGATGTACATCCTGCGCTCGCGTCACCGATCATCAATGACGACACCGTTAATTCTTAAGAAATGACGCGCACTTGATTCGAAATTGCGCGCGAGCAAGCAGACTTAAAAACGACGGAAAATTTCTGTAGAGAAAAATATATAATCGCGCATAATCCATATACAAGGAGATATTTTATGCTAACATATAATAGGTTCGTCTTCGCAACATTTGTAGCAACTAGAGCAAGTTCAAGTAAATATAAAAGTCCTATATCATTTTGCGATATTTGCAGTGAATCTTGACATATTAATTCAAAAAAATTAGATGATCATGCACGATATGGTAGGTAGAAAATATGTGCTATGTGTTCGTGTGCTAGATTCAATGTGGGTGGAGATCAAACTAAATAAAAAGGTCTTTTATCATTTTACAAATAACCACGTAAATTTTTAATTATTAATTAAAGAAAATTGTTGTGCGATAATGCACCAATTTTTCTCTTTAATTCTCTTCAATTTAATCTCTTAAAAAGAAAAAAGGATAATATTATTCGTGTTTATATTAACAAAGCAGACATTTAAAATGCGACTTTAACACGTTCGATTTCGGCAACAGCAAAAAATTATCTTTGCATTATAAAGTATATTGCGTACATATTCATAATATCGGCGTGCAGAAAATATGCAAAAATATATTCTCTCTAAGATATTTGGCTAGCGTATGCAATACGAAAGCATAATTATTTTTTAACCGTACGATTAATTATAGATATTGGCAATTAATATCTACGAGACGCGTTTTATAGAAAACAAAACGCAAAACATATCACAATATGACGCAAAACATTCGCACGATCAGATCAAATAAATTCGAGATTTTTACTGCGACATTTTTAATTCGAGAGATTACTGTTTACTGTTATGATACTGATTAGTGTTTTTAAGCAGCGCGATAATACGTGATGTGCATATATTAATAATTTTCCAACTTCTTGATAAGTTAACTGATAATTAAATCATATGTCTCTCTTTGTTTCTCCTTTAATTTAAACAAGGACAGACATGATTTAATTATTAGTCAGTTTATCAAGAAATTTATCAAGAACAACCAGTCTTAAGACGCGTTCAATGATGCGCGTCGTCGCGGATTATGATAGCGCTGTTTCTGATAAAAAAGTATATAATAGTTATATAATCATATATTTTCTCAAAGGATTTGTCGTATCGAAACGAGCGCACCAATAAAAAAACAAACAGAACTTTAAAGCCTAATTTACAATGTGCTCTTTGCTTTCTGTTTCTTGTTCTCTGTCCTTTTTTAGTTTAAGACTTAAGATGTGAGTCAGAGAGATAAAGAAAAAAAATAAACAAGAGGTAAATAACACATTGTAGATCAAGCTTAAGTGTCAAGGGAACGAAAAAATTCGCGGGCAATTCGGAAAACAAATTTCGATCGTTTCTGTATTCCATTTTTAATGTTCAGCTGTAACATTTATAGAGAGAGTAGCGTAGAATTCAATATTTTGTAATTATACTTTAAAAATGGCACGAAGTGCCCCGAAAATAATTGCAAGAGTGTTCTCACCGTTTCTCCCCCGTTCAATTTGTTCGCAGCGAGACAATGCATCGCTTCGAGCCACCCTTATGATCCCTACTTCATCAATTCCTGGCCCTTCTCCGACACGCGTCCCTCCCCGACGCCGGTAAGTGAATTAGATTAGAAGGGGTACTTTTATCGAGTCAGGATACCTCATCGCACGCACTCCGGAAAACGGAAGACTGCTGTTTTTCAGTATAATCGAGCTACAAACCGCTTATTACAGCATCGCGTCCTGCTATGATCGCGTTCTCACGAAGTGTTCTTTCGTCGGCAAAAGAAGAAAAAAGGAAAACAACGTGAGATCGTTTTTACCATACGGCAGTACGTAATACGAGTCGCTATTTTTTGCAGTCAATCTCGGCTTCTTGACGGGCATCTTTTAACGCGTACATTTCCGCGAAAAGAAAATTACACCGTTCGCGTGATTTAATTGTACATCTTATGAGACGCGAACACGGAAAGCGCTCTCGGCGGCCGCGGTGTGCCCGCTCATTATAATTCATTAGCATTAACGCGGGGAACTCCAATCAATGATGCCGAGTCCGACCGCTAATTATCTAGATTACAATGATCTCCTCTGCCGGCGAAGGATAACCGATTCTAACGACCGAGTCGGTCAGATGCAGCAAAGTGTCCACTTGGTTCAATAGCGAGAGAGCGTCACGCGAGTGTCTTAATGGAGGAGCGGTTTGTGCGATGCGTGTGAGCGAGCGAGCGACGTAGAATGAGAGGGAGTGAACGCCCGCGTGCGCGATTCCTTTGGAAGAGCGACCGCGCCGAGGGAGCACGCTCTCCCGACCGCTCATTAAAGTGGCATTCACAAGCTCGTATCGCGTCTCTGGAGCCGCCCAATCACGTATCCGAATACATTATGCGGCTGTTATCTGCCGTGCAAATGCGCGAGAACGTGCGACCAATGCAGAGATCCCTTTTGGTCAACGCGAGGGCTGGATTTCGCGGACACGACGCGCGGGATTTCGGTACAACTCTCGTAACCTGACTGACCTAACAAATACGCGTGTATTCGCAGGAGGAAAAGAGGTAAATGAAAAGAGCTACCGACAATTATTTTCTGCTTTAAGGTGGATACTTACAAAACAGATGTCAAAAATGTCAATGACATATATTAGAAAGAATTTTATGGTATAAATTATTATAGGATTTTCTGGAACAGATCGGCATTCCGCAGTAATTCACAAAAATTCTTTCATTTCAACGCAGAACGAAGAGAAATAATTAATTAAAGAATCTGTCATTGCGATCGTCGATAACGACAAATAGATAAACTGCTAACAGAAATATTGCCGTGTATGCTCTTGAATGAAGGCATGCATATAGGGGGGATATGTTTTGTAATTTTTATATATTTTAATTAGTGCATTTTACATGAAATTATAGATTGTTCTCTTCTATTATAAAAACCGTATTTATAGACGTTAGTCCAATGACATCAAACCTCGTGATCTATTGTGGAATCGTTCAGAAAGGATTCAAATCCATAGATGTCTATATTAACTAGATTGCTAATAGGCTATCTAAAAACATAGCACGGCTTGCGTTCGACAGAGTTTCCGGTGTATGCGATAAATTGATCGCTACCACGACATATTTCCACTACTGTTTAGTCATAAAATTTTTTTGTTGAAAATGTGCAGAGCAAATAACGTCCAATACTACAATCTATTTTTAATATAATAATCTATTTTTTCGTTGCGACATTTTTTGATACAATAAAATGCTGGCATTTTTGGTTTTACGACAATTATTTAATGGCCACGCTGACTCACATTGTACGTTGTAAGATACTTACACAAGTGACACGCGTCACACACGCAGGACCGCCGCCATTTTCTCGCATACAACCGGAAACCTTATGTGACGCAAGTCCGAAGTCTTAGTTAGCAATTTAGTTTAGTATAGACATCTGTGTTTAAATCAGAATTATTTCACACACAATTCTTCGTTTCTCGTCCTATTATAGATATGTGTAATGTGCAAGAAACTCTCGACATCTCGCAAAGAAGCAAAAAATCAAGTCGGAAGAAAGCGGATAAAAAAGTCTCGTGTCGTGACCAAAGGTGACCACTATCGTTTGTCTCGATCGGTTTTGAGAAGATTCTACAATAGACTAAACAAAAGGAAAGCAATACAGACAGAATTGCGATCGGAAACTCACTGGTCTAACACTCACGTTTCCGATCGGGAGTCGTAAATACAAGTAGAGCTCGATTCTTTTACTTGTTCTTTTAACAAATAACAGATAATCATGTTTTCTTTCTAACAAATATTTGGGGGGTGAGATATTACTATCCAAACTAGAATGAATAATATAAAAGGTATAACATGAGTAAATAATATCATCACTTAGTTATTAAAGTAGAATCATGAAGAAACACAGTTATATTTATTGATTATAATCATATATATAATATTATATATTATACTTTTATATATAAATATATATAATATAGAAATATAATAAAAATATCAAATATAAATATTTAATATTTTTTAATACTAAATACATTTAATACTAAATACATTTTTACATTTTAAGTATTTTTTCTTTCAATGTATGATTTAACATTATATATAGTACATTTCATTATATATAGTATAGCATATTTCTTTAACCTCAAGCACTCGAGAAATAAATAGTCGCTTTATCATCCTTATGACTTCATACTTTTCTTTTATCTGAAATTGTTTATTCCATATGAAATTTCAGTAATATGTGAAATTTGAATCACAATTTTATTCATCACAACTTTATTTAAAAAATTGTCTTATTTTTTCTGTATTGCAGTATCTTTATAATATCACTAAATCGAAGAGGTTTTATTACTATATGTGAGAGAGAAGAATACTTTTAATTATGAGATACATAAAGTATTTTTCTTTACATTTATTAATATTCTTCCTTGCATAGGGAAAACCAGGTCTAAATGGCGCCAGGAGTATATTGCTTTTGTGCTTTTATAATATCTTGAGAGAGATAGTGGACACTTACAATCACAAAATTTTGTTTAGAAAATTCTATTTAGAATATAAATACTTTTCTTTGAGTTTTTTGCTCTTATTAAAATTGGAATAATATTTCATTTAAAAAATAGAAAAAAATTGATTTAGCAAAGTAAATTTTTGAATCTCTTGAAATTTTATTAATATTAGATTTCCGGGTTTGAGCTGTGTGGGTTTATCTTTGTTTGATTTCAACGTTTCGCGAACATTTCAGTCCGCTTCATCAGGGAGAAACGACCCGATTTATTAATATTCTCTATCGTGAGAGAATAAAGTTAAGTGACGTTGGCCATAATTAATTATCTCTCTAACAGAAACCCCGTAACTAATAATCAAGATACAAATTTTATATATGGCTTTCTGTACATGTGACGTTACTACGTTACTGGACAATTGAAATCAGTATCAAAGCAAGATAGCCATGTTGCAGCATATTTGTAGTTTAATTACAGAACAAAACATACGATTAACAGGATGAACACTAACCATAGAAAAATATTACTTTTATGTTTGTTACTTTACATGTTTGTACTACCAGACACAACAATTATTTATCTGAAAATTTGTGCCTTCGAGATTCTAAAATATGGGGTAATTAGTCCCGGTCTATCTTGCACTGCTAAAAGAAAATGTAATTAAAAAGTCAAGAAAATACAGAATACCATAAAACAAAAATCCGACAACAGCTCTTTAAAGTACACACTTTATCTTGAATTTAAAAAAGGAAAAATATCCGTACGATTTTTCACGGACTAATACTCATTAAAATTTACATGTTCGCAATTTTTTAATGTTATATTTCTCTTAAACAGAAAATATTAATATTCAAGACAAATTTTATTATATTAATATTCAAGACAAATTTTACTATATGATAATAATTTAAATTTAACTGTGTCATGCATACCATTTATATATGAATCTTCAACCGTTACTCATACCATTTATATGTAATTCTAATCAATCAATAAAAATTCCGCTATAGCTTCTGCGTGCGGTTTACATTGTTAACTGCGACGGTGCGATGAGGCTTTTTCTCCGGCATCACTTTCAGCCAGAAACCTTCCACCAGAAATTTTCGCAAAAATTTTTTTGATCGGCGTGCGTTGTTAAGATATATATAAACATTTTACTATTAAGTAAACAAGATAACGATAATGATAATACAAAACCTGCATTGGCGATTGCAATTGTATTTGTCATCAACTTGTAAAATTGAAATCTAAATATGGCATCTTTATCAACGCATAAAATTGGCGATTAAAACAGAATTGCGAAGTCGTGGATGTTTGCGCGACGAACTTACTTATCAAGTGTACTGATTTCGCCTGCTGATCATACGCGAAACGAGAATAAAACGAAGAAGCCAAAGAGTGAAACAACGTGTGTGCCGTTTGACACTGAACGACCGACTGCTATCACTCGACATGGCTTTCGTCGTATATATGCGTTATAACTTACTGCTTACGCAATCGAGAACTGCATTCGAACCTTTAGGATATTACTAATGCAAAAATCAATTTTACAAGTTGATAAAAAACACAATTGCAATCGCCAATGTAGGTTTTGTATTATCATTATCGTTATCTTATTTGCTTAATAGCATATAAAATGTTCATGTTTATCTTAACAACGCACGCCGACCAAAAATATTTTTATTAAGTAACTCTGATCAAAGTAGATATTTTGTATACATTTTTGCACACAAAAAATAATGTCACCGGCCAAATATCTCTATTATGTTAGGTTTTAAAGTTGACTTTTATTTTTAAAATGAGAAATCAGTGATTTAAAGAAAAAATAGGAATAATTAATCGTTTAAACTTGACCTTTCTTCACGGTGTAGGATTTCACGCCAGGCAGCAACTCAAAATCCTTTTTGTATAATCTGTCTAACAATATGGCAATCGGATGCATCCTGAGGGCCTCGTTCATCACAGCGTCCAAGTATTCCATGTTGTTGACCATGTCATACGACGACTCGCCATTCGTGTCGTCCAGGATCTGGTCGATTTCGTTCTGCAGTCTCTTTTGAATATCCTGGTTAACAGCAATTTCACGCAGCAAAACACGTCAAGGTAGTGTCGAAGCCGCCGAAGAAAAAACTGAAGGGCTGGCTAGTCATGTCAGTGATAGTTAGATCTTCTCTACCTTCTTTCTTTCCTCTACTTTCCATCATCAATTGTAGCATGTCCAGCCGAACGATACCCTGTTTTTCCCTGGTCTTGATGGTGGTTTTCACGAGGTCCTGGAAGAATTTCGCGATCTCCGTGCGAATTATCTTCAATTTGAATATCTTCGCCAGCCACGGTAGGATTCTATATATGTAGAATTTCATGGCCATGACAATGTTAAAAGTGGCTTCTCTGCCGTACACATAGAAAAGATTTTTACGCATGGAATCGACGCTGACGCCGAAGGCGTAGATGGCGATCACGTTGTTGGTATACCTCGTGAAGATGTCCTTCATCCCCATTACCCTTTGCTCCGTCGGCAATTCCGCCACGAATTTACCGAAATCAGTGGCGCAATCCGACATCAATTTGACCATACCTTTTATCTTGCTGGACGTGAAAGCCGGGCTCAGCACAGCCCGCACCTCTCTCCATCTGTCATCTTGTAGAGAGAACAGGTTGTTGGAGAACATTGGATCTTGATTTTCCTCAACGAAAGTACCGTGATTCGGAAACATTTCGAAATTCTTCAGTGCAATGGACTTGATTAGCTCAGGGTCACGCAGTATCATTATCGGCCTAGTTAAATCGTACATGCCAATATACTTGGCCTTGGGATTCACGTCGTACAGTTCCATGAGATTTAGCCTATATTTTAATAATATTTTGAATTAATAAATGAAGACATATGCGAGCTTAACATATCCCAGGGAGAAAAGTTACGTCGATTCGATGTCTACCAGACGTCTACATGAAACGTCTATTTACCATCTACGTCTAGTCTAGATTAAGATCTATATCGATCTAAATCTATATAGACTAAGATCTATATCGTCCACGTTTCGATGTCTAATAGACCGTCATTTCGATGTCTTATCGATGTTAACTTTAGACGGCCGTGAAGAAGAATAGACATCGAATCGATGTCTTTTAGACGCTTTAGATGTCTAATAGATCGATGCGATGTTTATTTAACTGTTATTTTTCCCTGAGTAAAAGCCCAGTAAAAAATGATTTATTGATCGACGTCGAAAAGACGTTGAATCAACGCCAAAATCGTCAAATAGACGTCGATTCGACGTCAATCGATAAATCATTTTTCACTGGGTTGTTTCATAAAAAAAACTAATTCCTAATTTTCTTCATATCTTATAACTGCTAGAAACCGAAGATTGTCAAACATACTCTAAAACTTTCGCGAATCCGCCTCGATAATTTCGAATCCGAAGTGGTCACGCATTCATCCTGACTGCGTTGCTTAACCTGACGATTGAACGGCACGTGATGATTCCAATGACTCCAACAACGTTCTTACAATTTATGCTTATAAAATGTATACTTATAGTATTCACAGTATATTATAACGTACCTAGCAAACACACCTATCTGTTAATTCGCCTATCTATTTTATTTAATATCTCTAAAGTTTATGTAGTTATTTGCAAAATGATTTTGATCATTCCTTCCATTTTAATGTTTTTCGAGTAATCTGACATTCCTATCTTTGTAATACTATAATTGAAACGGCAATCTAAAAAAAAACTGACGTCTCCATTTAGAATAAATTTTTTATGCAAAACGCGCGCGATCCCAGTGAAAAATGACTTATCGATCGACGTCTTTCCGACATCGATCAATAAGTCATTTCTCACTGGGATAGCGATTACAAGCTAAAATTTAAAAGACAGTAGAGCAACTCGTTACTTTTATATAAAAGAAAAAATCTTTACGTTTTACTAAAAAACAATGACCTAAAATGTATTAATTTTATTAATGAATATATTAAGTATAACTTATTTATTAATAAAATATTAAGAAATTTATAGAAAGAAAAGAATATTGTAGTAAGTTTATTGTGATATATCATATTAAAGGGTATGTCCAGTGTAGCGGTCTTCAGTAAATATTCTGTGTATCTCAAGTCAAATCTCTAGTAAAAATGAAAACATTTTTACGCGTAAAGCAAAAGATATATATTAGACGTCGATTCAATATCGAATAGATGTCTAGAGAGATTGTAAATAATCGACAAAATAAAATCCCGAAATTTTGTCGAAAACTCTATTTTAATGGTCAATATATTATGAATGGATTCTAAAACATTAAAATTTATTCAAACAGAAGACGTCTAAATTGCCATTTTTCTAGATGTGCATTTACAGGGTGCGACGTCAAAATCTGGACAAATTATACATTTTTTCCAAACATATTTTTTATTGCAAAAACGAAAAGGTTTACAAAATTTGTTTAACCACATTGTTTGTAAGACCATAAAGAACACATTTACTCAATGATGCGACGTTTGGATGTCTGGACTTGTTCGTGACCCTTTCAACTACGCTCCATAGAAGTCCAAAGGATTCAAATCTGGGCTGTTGGGAGGCTAGAATTCTTTCGATCAAAACATGTTGGCGTTGTCCGACAACCAATTTTGCACCAAATGACTTGTGTGGGCGGGCGCATCGTCCTGCTGGAAAACATACGGCTTTCCAGACGACACAGTTTCCATCCACGGCTTCACTACATTTGTCAGAACACGCAAATAAACTTCTTTTGTGACATTTTCCCTTTTGTTAAAGAAATGCGGTGGCATGACATCACCCTCACAGGATACAACACCTAGCACGTGAACATTCGCCGGAAATTCTTCTCCGATTCATTGTACTTTGCGATGACATCATACATAGTCGATCTTGGGTACCCGAAGAACCGAATGATTTCTGTCGCCGAGCGCCCAGCGCGAACACTTTCGATAATCGCGGCTCTTCGGTTATACTCCGCACTTGGTTTCAAAATTGCGACTGTTTCGAGGTTATGATGGTTTAGTACATGCGTCAAACTATTTGAACGCTAATCGCGACATCTACCAGTGGTATAGAACGGCGAGAATTTCAAATTGAATTTTGTCCGGATTTTGGCGCCGCACCCTGTAGACTAGACGTAACTTAGATTTCTCCGATATCGGTTAGATGTCGATCGACTTCAGCGTTCTCGCTGGGATGTTCCTTAGAAATACATAAAATGGACGTCTTTAAAACGTACAAAAGTCAACGTATTTTGTACATCCACTAATGTACGTAATTAAAACGTCCATATTAGGTCCATGGACATTGGAACTAAATAAAAATCAAAATTGGACGTCCATTGGACGTCGTGTGCTGTCTGGGATGACTGTTTAACATACACGTCAATTTTTTCTTAACAAACGAAGAAAAACTGCCTCATAAATAGCAAAAATAGTTTAATAAAGATAAAGTATGTAGGAAAGTATATATAGGCAAGTATATATAGCTTTTTTCATGTTTGGCGAAATTAGCTCGCATACAAATAATTATAAAATTATAAAATTATAATCAGATTATAAAATTATTATGATTATATTGTTACTTTATATCACTATGTTATTATCAAAATAGAGTCACGAGGAAGCATATTTATATATAATGATAAAAATCACTGAGTTATATCCTGAGGCAAGAGATATTAATCGGTGAATACTAATGACATATTTATTTAAACTATATGTTTAATAAATAATATTTTTCTAAATGAAAGATATACATTTTCTAGAAATTTTAGCAGCAACGGTTTATTCTATATAAATAAAAGAATTTAAGCTTAAGTAAAAAGGTTACTAGTATACTCATCGTATATTTATTAAATATTTCTTAATATTTATTAATATTAAGTATTTATTATTATTTTAATATTTAATATAATACTATGAACATATAAAAAATATAATATAATATTATATATATCATCTTTTTTCATAGAGAATATATATCATATGGAAACATATAAAACTGATCGTCCCGTATGAAATTTTAGTAATATGCGTAATTCGAATATTTATCACATCTTCATTTAAAATTATCTTGTTCCTTCAATATTGCAATGTCTTCATAATATCATAAATCGAAGAGAATTTATTATTTATATGTGTGAGAGAGGAAAATATTTTTAATAATGAAATATACAGAGTATTTTTCTTCGCATTTATTAACATTCTTCTTCGTATAAGAGAAATCGGGGCTAGATGATGCCAGGGATACGTTGTTCCTACGTTTCTTATAGAATTTATCTCGAGAGAGAATAATGGATACAAAATCATAAAATGTTTAGATAACATTTAGAAACATTTAGAATATAAGTATTTTCCTCTGAGTTTTTTCACTCTCATAAAAATTGAAATAATATCTCAGTTAAACAATAGAAAAAAATGGATACAGTAACAAAATAACTTTTCAATTCTTTTGAAATTTTGTATTAATATTTTTCATCGGGAATACAGTAAGCAACGTTAGCTCATAATTAAGGTCAAAAGCAGAAAAGCTATAGAAACCTCCCGCAGAAACCCAATAATTATTAAACTAATCAAGATACAAACTTTATATAAGTATTTTCGTGTATACGAGCTTACACTAGAGCACTGAATCGCTGGTATCAAGGCCAGATAGCCACGCTGCTACATATTTTAGTTAATACAAAACAAAATATACGATTAGTACGATTATAGTGGCTATTAATACCTAGATAAATATTATCTCTATCGTGGTTGTACAGTCAGTTAAAAATTATTTATTTAAGAAATTGTGTCTTCGAAATTTTCAAATATGTAGTATATCTAGTCTCACACTGTTGAAAAAAAATGTGACATAAAAAAATTAAGAAAATACAGAATGCCATAATAAGAAATCCAACAATAGCTCCTTAAACACTATACCTACAAACAAAACAAAATAACATGTTCGTACAATGATTTTTCACGGAGTAATGGTCATTAAAATTTTAGATATTTTTGCCCATAACTTTTTATGTTATACTTCTCTTGAATAGAGTATATTAATATTTAGAATGGATTTTATTTCGCAATTAACAATGTTACCTATATCATTTACATATGAATCTAACATATGAATCTAACATATGAATCAACAAAAATTCCCCTACAGTTCCTATGCGCCGTTAATATTGTTAACTGCGACCGTGCGATAGGGCTTTTCCCTCGGCATCACTTTCAGCCAGAAACCTCCCTTAGCCTTCATATTGAAGCCGTCATTGGCCAACTTGAGTGGTATGCGCGTCTTCTTACAAGGTAGTAAATCGCAACGTGCCAGCAGATGAAAGAGTAACACCTTCGTTTCCAACAGAGCGAATCGATTACCTATGCACATCCTGGGGCCTGCGCCGAATGGTAGATAAACTCCTGTGTTGAGAATATATTTCTTTTGCTCGCCTAGAAACCGTTCGGGGTTAAATTTGTCAGGCTCCTCGAAGTATTTTGGATCATGGTGGAATCCGTAAATGGGTATCCAAATGCCATGACCTTTCTTCACGGTGTAGGGCTTTACGCCTGGTAACGTTGGCGGCAACTCAAAATCTCTCTTGCATACTCTGTCAAACGCTACGGCGACCGGGTACATCCTGAGAGTCTCGCTCACTACAGCGTCCAAGTATTCCATGTTGTTGACCACATCATACGGCGACTCGCCATTTGTGTGCTCCAGGACCTGGTCGATTTCGTTCTGCAATTTCTTTTGAATATCTTGGTTAACTGCGATTTCATGCGCGGCAAAACACATCAACGTCGAGGTACTGTCGAAACCGCCGAAGAAAAAGCTAAAGGCCTGGCTAGTCATGTCAGTGATAGTTAGATCTTTTCTACCTTCCTTCTTTCCTCTACTTTCCATCATCAGTTGCAACATGTCCGGCCGCACGATACCCTGCTCGTCCCTGGTCTTGATAGTGGTTTCCACAAGTTCCCGGAAAAAGTTCGCGATCTCCGTACGAATGAATTTCAGTTTGAGTATTTTTGCCAGCCACGGCAGACTTCTGAATATATATATTTTTAGGAAGGCGATACTATCGAAAGTAGTCGCCTCTCTGCCGTACACGTAAAAGGGATTCTTCGGGTTACGCATGGAATCGACGCTGACTCCAAAAGCACAAGTAGCGATCACGTCGTTGGTGTATCTCGTGAAGATGTCCTTCATCTCCATCACTCTTTGTTCTGGTGGCAATTCCGCCACGAATTTACCGAAATCGTTGGCGCAGTCCGACATCAACTTGAACATGCCCTTCATCTTGCTGGACGTGAAGGCCGGACTCAACACAGCCCGCACTTGTCGCCACGTATCATCTTGCAGGGAAAACAGATTATTGGAGAACAGCTGGTCCTGATCCTCCTGGATAAAGACTCGATGATTAGGAAACATTTCGAAGTTCTTCACTGTAATGGATTTGATGAGCTCACTGTCACGCAGGACCACCACTGGCTTGGTTAAGTCGTACAAGCCGGTATATTTGGCTTCGGGATGCACGTCGTACAGATTCTTCACGAGCGCAGCTATTGGTTGCAGGCGCAACATCGGCGCTCCCATATTGCCTACCAAGGGTAGCGGCCTAATATGCGGGATGTTATGATTCTTGAACAAGTTCAGATCCTTGAAGAGGAAATAATAAAGGCCCAGAGCGCCGGCTACCACCGACAAGACGAGTATATATACCATGTTTATCAAATTTTCCCACTAATCCAAATATAGCACATTTATTAGCGCGTAAAATTGTGAATTAAAACGGAATTGCAGAGTCGTGGATGTTTACACGACGAACTTACTTAATCAAGTGTTCTGATTTCGCGCGCTGATTATGCGCGAAAAGAGAATACAACGATGGAGCGAAAGAGCGGAGTAACGATGTCGTCGACACTCAACGACCAACTGCTATCATGCGGCGCAGCTTTCGCCGTATATGTGTGTCAGAACTCACTGCTTACGCAATCGAGAGACACTCTCGAACTTCTGAGATATTACTAGTGCAAAGATCAGTTGCACAAGTTGATGAAAAACAATAATCGCCAATGTAGGTTTCGCATTATTATTATCATTATCTTGTTTGCTTAATAGCATGTAAGATCAGTATATCTTAACAATGCAGGCCCAAAAAATGTTTGTTAATTCTAATCGTTGTTAATTTGTTTAACTTTAATCAAATTATTTTGTATAGATTTTTGCTTACAAACAACATTGTCACCGGTTAAATGGTTCTATCACGTTAGGTTTTAAATTTGCTTTGAATTTTAAATTGAAAAATCAGCGATTTAAAGAGAAATGTCGAATAATAAATTGTTTATCGTCAATTAATTATTAAAGAGAGATAAGTGTTTGATATACATATTGATTCCTTACAGTAAGTAGTAGAAGAAAAGAAAATTGTCACAAATTGCAAGAGAATTTGTTTATTAAAAATACAGTGTATATGAAAAAATAGACACTTTTTTAGAAATTTAGCGAAATCAATAAGAATAAAAAGGCGGATTACAATGTTATGGATTCCATTCTCTTTGTAATAATTTTTGATTGAAATTTTACTAAAAAATATACAAAAAAGTACAGTTAAAAAATAGTTGATAAAAAAATTTGTTAGAATAAATGACATTTTATTAAACTTTAATATAAAAACCGGGGTAAACGAAATATAAATGTTGCAATGTAATCTATTAAATAAGAAAGAAATTGAAAAACAAACTTTTCTCCCATACTAAAATTTAAGAATTTTCCTTCTTACTTACCCTTCATCATTTCTTCGGCTGGTCAACTTCTTACTTGTCCTTCATCATTTGGAGCATATCCGGATCGTTGGCAATAAGAGCGTAGTCGAAAACTTATTCGTCGAATATTCTTCGAACAGGAATAGAAATCTCTATTCTTATTTAGTTCGCATGTCGTCCCTGTTTATTGGAGTTGGTTATCGACTCCGGTTATCTCTTCATAAGCATACTGATATGAATAATCAACTCGAAAAATGTCGATAACGTAAAAATAATCGTCATTAAAACGAGTTTGCTATCATTTTGGACTTCTTATAAATGTAGTCCTTATATAAATGTGTACTGCTTTGTTTCATCATATTTAACGGAAAACCTTTTATATATATATATATATATATATATATATATATATATATATATATATATATATATATATATATCTCTTTTTTTTTAATATACCTAATAGTAGATAAATCTACTAAAAGTAAACTTTACAAATTATATATTACCCAGTAAACACAGTTTCTAACAGTAATATAACTTAGAAGTTAAAAGTAATATTACATCTGTTACATTCTATACAACATAACAGTAATATAACATGTTATTTATAAATAATATTGAGACGGTTACATTTA